ACGCTATAAAAACGCTTAAAATTTAAGAAATTCCTATTAATAAAGCAAATTGCTTATAATTAAGCATTAATTAATTGCAAATTATATAATAAATCCATAATTTTAAGGTTTTAAATAAGAAAGCTTATATAAAAAGCTTGCATTAAAGGATTATAAAAATGCTATTAATTTAGCTATTAGCTTATATTTAAATAATTATTTTTTATTAGCTTGCTTTAATTAATATATTAAATTATAAGGGTTAAGGCATATTAATTATAAATAATAAGCTAAGCCTTTAATATAATTAAAAAGTATTAAGGTATAATTAAATGGCTAAGCAAAGAGCAATATTTAATTTATAACTAAACCATAATATCCTTTATTTTTTATTATATAGCTACTTTTTAAGGCCCGCCATAAAGACTTAAAAAAAGAAAATATATTATAATTTAAGCTTTGCTCATTATAATTAATTAATAAGCTTTAACCCTATAAGAATAAGCTTTAACGTAAATATAAATAAAAAGCAAACCTTCTCCTTTGCACTTTAAATATAAACCCCATTTAAACACCTTATGGCAAATAACCTAAGGCTAGCCCATAACACTAGCTTAAGTAAAAGTTTAATTAAAAGCCATTACCTTTAAAAAAAAAATTAAAGGTACCTTAAGCATTAATTATTATTATTATATTATTTATTAAGATAATATTATTCTTCAATATTTATAATAATTAAATTATTATTATTTTAATTATTATAATTATTAATATAGCCTTATTTATAAACTTATTAATTATTTTTTATAATTATATATTATAATATAAAGTTTTAAGCTTTTAATATTTTAATATATTATTATAAGATAAAGTAAAGTTATTTAATATTTATTAATATTATTAAAATAATATAATAAAATTTAAAAATACCTTATATTATTTATAAAATTATATTTTATAAAAAGCTATCTTTATAAATAATATATTTAAATACTTTATAATAAAGCTATATTTTATTAATAAGCATTTAAAGAATATTTATATAACTTTTATTTAAATTCCTTTATTAAAAAGTAAAGAAAGTTAAAATATTTTAATTTATAAAATAATTATAATTATTATTATTTATATTAAAGTAATTCTTAAGTTTTTTATATATTTAAGTAAATAAGTTCTTTTAATTAATAGCTTAAATATAATATATTTTTATTAATTCTTTAAGCATATATAAAAAAGCTGCTTTAAATTATTAAGGCTAAATATATAAATTATTGCAAGCTTTATAAAAAAGGAGGATTTTATTATTAAAAATATTATATAATTTTTTAATAAATATCTTATCCTTATAATAATATTTATTTAAGTTAACTATTATATTTAAGTTAAGTAAAAAGTTTTTTATTTTTATTAAAGATAAAAAAGTATAATAATTATATATTATATAAAAGTTATTAATTAAAGGAAGGTTATTACCTCTTTTTAATAAATTAAGAAGTTTTAAAAAGCTATTATTATCTTTATTATTATTATTAAATAAGCTAAGTAATTTAAATAATTTAAAATTAAAAGAATTATTATTATTAAGTAATTCTTTAACTTTTATTAAGGCATAATTAAAGTTAAAAATAATATAAGCGCTTAAATTATAGTTTTAAATTTAATTAATTTTAAATATAATGCAATATCTTTATTTTTAATATATTAATTATTTAAAATAATTTAATGCTTTAAAGATATATATAAATCCCCTTAAAGTATTTATTCCTTAAATATAAATATCTTTAACTTAAAAAGTCTTTTTAATAATACATAATAAGTCTTTATTAACTTACTTAAATATTAACTTAATTTAATTATAAAAATCCTTAATAAATGTTTTATATATCTTATTACTTAATATATATATTATAGCTTAAATTTAGCTTTAAATATAAGTATTTAAGTATTATTTATTATTAAAGGATTTTAAGTAATTTATTTATATTAAGGAATTAAATATTTTAATAATGCTTTTAAATATAAAAGTATAATTTATTATAATTAATATTAATAAACTATTTTAACTAATAATATTGCTTATTATATTTATTATATTATTATTATTTCTTATTATTTTAATAAAGTAATAATAAAGGTATATTTAATTTAAAAAAGAAAATAATAAAAAGGGGAAATAAATAATATTAAAGGAAAATAAAAAAGTTAAGGATTATTTTTATAACTTAGTTATTAAAAAGTAAATTAATTCCTTTTTTTATATTTATTTATATAATAAGATATAAGTAAATATATTATTAATAAGAATAAATATTAATTTAATTCTTTTAATTATAATTATTAAATTTAAAAGTTATTATTGTTATGGGCTCGGCCCCAAAGGGGCTGCAGGCTGATTAGCGCCTTCTCCCATAAGCTGCAAAGCAGCAACCTTTTAACTATTAAGCCAAAAGGTACGTAATAATCTAAGCTCCCTTAAATTATCTAGCCACACTATATAAGGCTTGGGCTCCCAGCCCAAGCCTATTACATAGCCCCTTCCCCCAGGGCCCCCCCTGATATAGTAATATAATTACCCCCAAGGCTTACCCATGATATTGCCTTTTAAGCCAGGAATCTTCTTTATAAAAGGGGTGCCCGTATTTACTTGCGGCAAACATGACTTAAACTCTTAACCCTAGAGCTTAAATTATATATTATGGGCTCGGCCCTAAAAAAGCTACAAGCTAGCTAACGCCTTCTCTTATAAGCTGCAAAGCAGCAACTTTTTAATCATTAAGCCAAAAGATACATAATAATCTAAGCTCCCTTAAATTATCTAGCCACACTATATAAGGCTTGGGCTCCCAGCCCAAGCCTATTACAATTATTAAGGTTATTTAAGGCATGATAAATGCATATATATTAAGGATAAGGGAGTTCGTTATAATTTCTTGCTATAATAATTACCTTTTTATATATTAAGTATTATTATTATTATAAATTATATTATATAAATTTATAATGTTAATAATGTTAATTAATATAATTAAAAGGTTATTTTTTTAAGCCTTATTAATTTATAATTACCCTTATAATTATTAATTAATATTAATTAAATTATATATTATAATATAATGTTTAATTAATATAGTAATTAATTATTATTAATTATGAAAGGAAGAAAGGTAAAAGGCTTAACTATGCTAGCTATTTTATATATAATGCTAGGGCTGCTGCTTATTAAGCATCTTAACAAGCCAAAACTGCTTAGTTTTAAACAATCCTTTATATAAACAACACTTATTATTCTTATAATAGCAAAGGCTATTTAATAAATATAAACTTTTAATATTTATTTACTTAAAAAAATATTAAATTTAATTTATAATAAAAATATTTTAATTAAATAAATTTATAATAAAATTATAATAAATATTTTAAGCATTAAAATTAAAATTTTATTATATTAATAATTAAAATTAATTATATATATAAAGATTTTATAATATAAATATATTATAAGGAAATAATAATATTAAATATAATAAATATTATAAATAATTAATATTAAAGCATTAATAAATAAAAATTATATATTATAATATATAATTATTTTTAAATAATATATAATTAAAGGAAATTTTATAATTTATAATTATAACTTTTCTTTTTATATAATTAATTTATTATTAATTAATAAATATATATTAATTTAATTAATAAATTTTATTATAAATTAAATATAAAATTTAATAATATATATTAAATTATATATAACTTTTTATATAAGTTTAAATTATTAAAAAATAATTAAAAAGTTAAATAAATAATAAATAAATTAATAAATAAATTTAAAAAATATAATATAATTAAAGCTATAAATATATTAAGTTATATATAAATTTATATATTAGCTAAAGGTTGCTGCTAAGGAATAATTAAAAAGCTAAGCAAATAATAAATAAACCAACAAATAGTTAATTTAAAAAAAACACAATGTGGCCGAAGCCTTACACACATTACACATTGGGAGCCATTTCATCATGGAATTTTCCCACCAATCAAACACTTCTCACATGCGCTAAGATCAAATAGTAAATGGACATTAGATGCCCTTGTGTTGGTTGACATACCAGTATCAAGCCCCTGCCGGGGCCCACTGAGAGCTATTCGTCTTGACCAATGAACGAGCAGGATTTCAACCAATCAGCTTTCGAGCTTTGAGTTCGGTCTGGCAGTGTCATTTTTTCCGTTCACAGACTTTTCCGTTCACAGACTATTCTAGACGAATAGCATAGGTCGACTTGCTCTTTGATATGTCTCCTGGGTCTAAATCCACATGTATGCACAGACTCCAAATCTGTGTATATCCAACCCACCTAGTCAAAAGATATAACAACTCCAGTTGTCTTGCTCACTTCCAGTCACTGCTGTCCAGTGTATGACAACTAATCAATATTGATTAACAACTCCAAACTTTCAAGACACTCAAAGTGCGTCTCATTAGGTGCCTCCAAACAACGTTATTCCTAAGCTCACTTCAGCTCTGGCTCGGACCTTGGATGCTCTAATCGACTAGGCACATGCGCATAGGTGGGCATACATGTGACAAGCCTAGTCTGGGTTGAGGAGACTCCCGCCCTCCTTCACAGTCATCAGATACTATTCCTAACTAGTGCTCTTCTTCACCCTCCGGGTAGATTAGTCATTACTGAACAATTGAGCGGCACGAAATGGACCGCATCCCCAAGCATTTAAATCTCAGAACTCCGGAAGCCTCCACTTTTACATAGGGCAGACTCTGCGCTGTGTGCCCCAGAGTTTGAGTGTGCCTTTGTGACAAAGCTTCAAGTCCATCTCGGCTGTGACGTCGCTGGACCCCATCACAGACTCGGAAGGGTTAAAGTTTGGCCTTGCCAGCTCCATAAGCACGATTCATGGACAGCCTCGGCACTTGGCTCGCCACTTCAGGTGGTTTCACATCCCGCCAACTCCTCACCTTCAATTCAAACACCATTCCCATCCCCAGTTTCAAAGCCAAAATGGTCAAAGCCAGCTGTGTTTGCGGGAACTCTGCGTATGAATTCACCGGGAAGTATCAGGCCTTCGTAAGTCCAGAAGCATCAAGCGCCTTGTTCAACAAGCGAACCTGACTTGTTCGCTCTAGCTTGCTTGTCACTGTGTTCCCTGCCGCAAAGTCACAGGCGCTGATCGATCTCTGAACTTGGTTGTGCACAAAGATGAGGTGACAATCACTTCGGGAACGGACAGACTGGTCTCTAGAAGCGCCGACAGCGGGAAGGGCCTGACATACTATCAGTGCCAGAATGTAAGTCGGGCAACGGGGAAAAGCCGTGTCTTCAAGCATGTGCTGATAAGCAGATAGTGTGGGAACACGATGTTTGCAGTGTCTGGGAAGGATCTTGATACGTATTTTCTCAAGGCTGGTCTCATCGACGACAATAAGTTCTTGAATACGCTCGGAACACCGAAGATGGAAATCTACTGCAAATATTTGTGGAACTGGGAGAGGACATTCGAGGGAGCGCAAGCAACTCAGAACTAGCAATTTGAAAAGGGTGTACAACCTCACTATCTCTAAGTTCATGTGAATTTTGTAAAGGATGAGCAAAAAATGGACTCAGGTACAGTGCCAGGAATAGACACCAGATTCAATTTTTAACCATGTATTCAACTTGACCACACGCTTCGCAATAGCACTGGAGGCATTGTCCGTCCTAGCATCAATAGATTCGAGATTCCAAGAGCCGATCCGGTCACCACGACGACTACTAGCGAGGCATGTAGTCCGAGTCTTCCGGGTCTTCCATGTCCTCGGATTCCTGCAGTTCAGAATCTTTCACGCTCGTGTCTTCCTGAGCTTCTTCTTCTTCTTCTTCTTCTTCTCCTTCTCCTTCTTCTTCTTCTTCTCTTACAAAGATGGAAGAGGGTGTATCGCCAGTGTGTGAATGTTCAGGAGGGTTAGGCACGCTTAGCAGCCGGTCTCCAGATTCTGCGGTCTGTGGCTCAACAGAGCGTGCCATAATCATTTGCCAGATCTCCTTGTAACCTTGCCTCTCGTAAATGGTTTTCAGCTTCTTTTTGACCCTTATAATCCATGCAGAATCGCCTTCGCCTTTGTACTTGGGCAACGCCGTCGGCCACACTAGGGGCTAAAGACCCTGTCAGCGGATATCTTTTGCCCAGCCACGCTACCAGTAAAAGACATGGACATCTTGAGGAGGCTTGTTCTCCCGCGGCTCTTGCAAAGCCATATCAACATTGTTTGATTGGGGTGGGGACTTCATCTCGAAATCGCTTACCAATTTCTCATCCTGGATTAGCCCTGTTTGTAGAGTAAAGATTACCCGACCTCCGATGTTGTGCTCTCTGCTCAGTGTTCCGCCCATCAAAAGTCTATTAATTGTCAACATGTCTCCGTTGCACGGTGCAGTATGAAGACTATGCACGCAGCTCTTGGACCGCGCAATAGGGTAGTTTATACAAACCTGTAGAACATGTTGAAGGCATGGCGAATTATTCCATTGCCAGTGTACTGTCAATTGCCGGAGACATGTTAGCGAGACATGGAATATCACTCAGCTCCAACGCATTGACGGAATTTTACTCACGTTTTGATCTATCCAGATCAATGGGATATAGACCAACTCTGACCCTTCTGGGGCCAGATCAGGTACAATACTAGTAGGCGAGGTCCCTTGATCTCGTTGGAGCTCCACTTTAAGCACTCCAAGTCCGGGATTTACGTCTCCATTCGCCATATACAACCCCCGCAACACATCCGCAATCTCTTCAAGCTCTGCGTCTCGAATATTGGCGTTGGGGTCCAGGAAGTCACTAACCCACTTATTGCTGCGATTTGGCTCCTGGGCAGTAGGCCTTAGGATTAGCCAGGATTCGATGTACCCTATGTCCTCTTCTTGTTCTTGTCCCGGCCTTGCGAGGTAAATCTCTGCGTAGTACTGTTTCATTTCAAGTTAGCCGCTCTGCGGTTTGTGGAGAAGAAACAATTGTGAGAACAGTGGCCTGCACTGTCGCCAGGAGTCCGATCACCCAGGCCCTTACGCGAAGGCGAGAGGGCCCTCCGAGCAGCACAGAAAGTAGTGTCAGAAAATCTAAAGCATTGCTTACACCCTTTCGACTTTTCCTTAAATAATCCGTGTGAACCTGAACGGACATTCTGAGGATGCCTGTTGCTGTATCGCCAATACGCGGCAACTGGATCTCTGTTGTTGCCCATGCTTCTGCGAGGACTTCGCCTCGTTTCCGAGAGAGGCCCCTCCTCTGGACCTTGGTACATCGGGCGGGCCCGCGCGGAGTCTTTGGACCATTAGGAGAAGAGGCCGCAAAGGTGTAAACTGCATCCGGGCCTAGGCAGTCGGCAGGGCAGCTGCAAGATTGAAGACTAGCAAGTCTTGCGGACAAGCTTTGAAGCGTGTTGTAGAGCTGGTCGTTGTTGCGCTGAGGGTTCTGTAAGGCTTTATCACGCTCAGGCTCAGTTTGAGGCTCATGCTCAGGCTGGGGAGTATCAGAAGAGCTCGAAACGATAATCCTTCTTCCGCGTCTAGGCGGAGCCCGAGCCTTGGTTTTTTCAATTCGTGGCCCCATTCCTGCTAGCTGTTGTCAACGACCTCGATATTCGCACACTTTCCTCCTTGACTCTGTAACACCGGCTGATAAAGTGTGTTTCAGTTTTGCTAAGGCATGTAATACTGCGGCCTGGCAAAAAGACATGAGGATCCAATTCTCAGGAATGGAGCACATGTCATGGTAGCCAGGGAGATTGAGAAAGAGCAAATGGAACCAAACGAGACGTAAAATGGCTAGACTTTTCGATCTGCATGGATTTAATGGTGGTAAGACAAGGCACAAAGCAAGCATGTTTTGGTGGCTTGGAGCGGCCGGAAACGATGAGGACAAAGCCAAACACAGGACTTTTCCTGACACTGGACACCCAGGCATAATTTAAAAATCAACAAAGATATGGAGCACACGTCAATATCATTCTATGAAACCTCTAGAAGGACTCTTAAATTGTTGAATACTTGATTCGTGGTGGAGATTTCAATGTTGTCAAGGGCGGGAATCTCAAAACTCAAAACATAGCCCCCAAAGGTTGTGTGCTTCTGCCCAATAATTCACTCCTGGTCTTTGTTATGCGAAATTGTACCAAGTACCTGGGGTGGTTCAATGCTATGTGCTCCAAAACCTATAGTATTATCCACGCACAATGCACCTTGTGTCAATATGAAAGAAGCACACATCTTTGCCTGCAGACCACCTCCACCTCGGGCATGAGCTAGCTATTGCCATGCTATGGGACTATGTTGCACTGAGAGGAAACGTTACGACTTAGATGTTCCTGCATTCAAAGACTACTTGCCATAGAATTCTGAACTGTGCATGACAACTGCATTCCGCTCTACACCACTGCCACCTTCTTAATGAAATCCCAGCAGCTTGAAACTGCACTTGTGCTGATTCCTGTTCTCGTGTGCTGGAAAACGCAATCAGGAAAAGAAATCACTCTTCCCAGTGACTACCTGGGGATTTCCCAGTAGTTAGAAGGACTGGGCTTCTCCGTCCACGACCAGTGTTGTAAGATGTTCTCTGGTGGCCCATGAAAGTTGGGCCAGAAGACTTAAGTTATGATATGAGATAATGAAGTGTGAGCTATTGTGGCTTACTGTGAACAAATCCATGTTCGAGATCGTTCAGGTTGTATTCGTAAAGAGAGCAGATCCTGTGCATCTCGGCCCAGATGACCAGGCAACGCCAGACTTCCAGAATAAGTCACGGGTATTTGATTCTCATAATCAAGGTTTGCGTCAGTATGACCAAAATGCAGGGTTGTAAAATTAGTTTTGAGTTTTAGTTAAACTAAATGTAGTTTTTAGTTTTAGTTTTAAGTTAGTACTTTTTTAAAAACTTAATATAGTTTTTAGTTTTTAGTTAAGCCTATTAACTAAAACTAAAAAACTATAAACTAAATTAAGTTTAATTAAAAAACTAAAAAATTAATTAAATTAAATTAAAAAGAATTAAAAGAATTAAAAATTAATTAAAAGAATTAAAAGAATTAAAAGAATTAAAAGAATTAAAAGAATTAAAAGAATTAAAAGAATTAAAAGAATTAAAAGAATTAAAAGAATTAAAAGAATTAAAAGAATTAAAAGAATTAAAAGAATTAAAAGAATTAAAAGAATTAAAAGAATTAAAAGAATTAAAAGAATTAAAAGAATTAAAAGAATTAAAGAATTAAAAGAATTAAAAGAATTAAAAGAATTAAAAGAATTAAAAGAATTAAAAGAATTAAAAGAATTAAAAGAATTAAAAGAATTAAAAGAATTAAAAGAATTAAAAGAATTAAAAGAATTAAAGAATTAAAAGAATTAAAAGAATTAAAAGAATTAAAGAATTAAAGAATTAAAAGAATTAAAAGAATTAAAAGAATTAAAAGAATTAAAAGAATTAAAAGAATTAAAAGAATTAAAAGAATTAAAAGAATTAAAAGAATTAAAAGAATTAAAAGAATTAAAAGAATTAAAAGAATTAAAAGAATTAAAAGAATTAAAAGAATTAAAAGAATTAAAAGAATTAAAAGAATTAAAAGAATAAAAAGAATAAAAAGAGTTAAAAACAAAATAAAATTTATTTTAAGGGTAATTTAAACCCTTAGCTATTAATATATAATATAGCATATAATTATAAGCAAGGAATTTACATTATATTTATATATTAATAAATTAATAAGCATTATTATAATTATTATAAGCAATTATTATAAATTTTATTAACGCTATATATAACTATATTATATATATTATGAAATTATAAAATATATATAATTTAGCTTTTTTATAAATATATATAATATATATACCTTATACCCCCCCCTTTTTTCCCTACCCTTAGCATAACCACCTAAATATAATCTTTAATATCTTAATAATTTATAAAGCTATAAATATAAATAAAATATTTTTTAAAAGCTTATATTTTAATCTTTATATATAAAAAACTTTTAAAATATATTTACTCTTTAAAAAAATAAATATTTAACTTTAATTAAGTTTTACCTTAAATAAAAACTTAAAATACTTTTTAATAAAATTATATAATAATATTAAATTTTTTTAAATATAAATATTATATTTTTATATATATTTAAAAATTTCCATAAATAATAAATAAATTTATTTAAATAGATTTATTAAAACTTATATATCCTTATAAATACTTTAACTTTAAAAGTAGCTATAAGGCTTATTAAGGCTTATTTGCCCCTATAAATACTATAACTTAAAAAGTAGCTATAAGGCTTATTAAGGCTTATTTGCCCCTATAAATACTATAACTTAAAAAGTAGCTATAAGGCTTATTAAGGCTTATTTACTCCTATAAACACTTTAAGTTTACAAGTAGCTATAGGGCTTATTAAGGCTTATTTACCCCTATAAACACTTTAAGTTTACAAGTAGCTATAAGGCTTATTCCAGCTTAAAAAAAGTTTAGGGTAATTAACTATTTAAATTAAATAGTTTTAAAACTTAAGATTTCATTATAATAAAAATATATATTATTTAAATTTAAATTAAATATATTTAAATAATTATATAAAAGATATATAAGAATTTTCCTTAAATTATTCTTTATTTATATATATTTTTATATTATTTTAAAAGCTTATTAATATTTTAAAAATTAAAATATTATATATTTCTTTAAGTAAATATTTAGCTAATTTAAAGGAATAAACTATTTAATTTAAAAAAATAAACTATCCATTTTTTTTTTATATATATAAACCTTTCTTTTTCTCTCTCTCTCTTTCTTTCTTTCTTCTTTCTTTATTACTTCTTAAGCCTATTTTATTTATTTATTATTTCCTTAAACCTTAATTACTTATATACTCTTATTATTTTATTTATTATATATAAATAAAATGTTTTCTTTTACTCCCTTATCTCTTATTAATTCTTTAGTAATTTTTATTAAGAATTATAATATTTCTTTTTTAAAAGAAAATTCTTAAATATCTTTTATTATAAAAAATAAATTTAATTCCTTAATTTATAAACTTTCTTTTCTTAAGAAAATAAATATTTATATTTTTTAAATAATTTATTTATTTATATACTTCTCCTTATTAAAAAGAAAAAAATTAATAAATATTAATATCTTATATTTAATAAATTATTTCTTTAATCTTAAAAGCATATAACTTAATATAAATAAAATTTATTTTTTAAATATATTTTA